GTGTGTGTGTGTGTGTGTGTGTGTGTGTGTGTGTGTGTGTGTAAGTGCGCGCTGCGTGTTTCCTTTTTTCCTTTGGGAACTAGGGGAGGAGATATTTTCAGTGTTCGATGGTGTCGTGTATTTTAAAAAATAACCTCTTTGCCCCTTTCCTTCCTCTTCTGTCCATTTTGTTTGTCCAGAATTACGTCCCTACAGTGTTTGAGAATTATACGGCCAGTTTTGAAATCGACACACAAAGAATAGAGTTGAGCCTTTGGGACACTTCGGGTAAGAGTCTTCGGACCGCGTGGCGCTTGGGGCGGGTTTTTAGTCGCTGCGGGGTGCACGGCGGGCTCGTTCCACCAGCTCTCTGCGCCCTTCCATTAATTTTGCCCCTGTGAGGGATTCTCACGGCCCCTGCTGGGTGAAAATTTTATCCTTTCTGCGTGGGGGCGGGGTACAATATGGGGAGAGGGGTGGCAGTAAGGAGAGGGGAGCGCTGTGTGCCCTCAGGGTGACCCTGAGGTTGGAGTCGCCCCTGGCTGGGTGGCCCGGCATGGTCGATTCTTGCGGCGTTGCCCGAGTGGTCTCCGGGCTGCCAAGGTGGCTCGGTGCTGGGGGAGTGCGCGCGCCCCTGTGGAACCACTGGCACTAGGCGGGCGCCCCTACTGAATGTGACCTGATGTTTGGCTAGGAGGCGGAAAGCTCTGGCGGCGGGGTGGGGTGGAGTGAGGGGGAGGTGGAAGAAAATCCCCGGAGCAATGCGGTTACAAGCGGATTCCGCGCTTGGGGCAGAGTAACGTGCAAAACGGCTGCCGGCGCCCATGACGCCTACTGCGAGGAATGCGCTGGCGGCTAGGGCAGCGCGGGAGCCCGGTAGTAGACTGGCCTCTTGGAAGCGCCGTGGCCCTTTTCTTAGCGTCCACCGGCACGCAATCTCCTCTTAGCCCTCCCAGTGATCACGCAGCTCACCTCTACCACGCCAGTCCCTCGCTACCCCTATTGCATCACCTTCCGTTTGCCAGCCGAGCTGCAGCTAGCACTGTTCCCCTTTGACCTTCCTGTCTACTTGAATTATTGGCTTCGTGGTGGGTTATTTTCAAAGGTCTGGGGTTCAAGTTCGGGTTATTGCCTTCCCCTGTGCCCATCCACCTACCTGTCTCGTGGTGGCAGAAAGGGTCAAATACCCGCCAGTGGGAAGGCTTCCAGCCCTCTACCTTAGGGGTTTGCACCGGGTCAAGGTCGGTGGGGGCGGGGGCACCACCTGAGTATCTGGGACTAGGATCCTCTACTCCTGGTCAGCAGTGCTCCGCTGTGAGGGATTGCTGTTTGCTGAAAGGGTGTCTTTAGGGGAGCAAAGCCACCAGGCAAGGCAAGGGAAAGGCCTCTGCCCATAGGGAACTGATCTGCTGGTGGACTGATCTGCCAAATCCTACTCGAAACTACCGAGGAGGCGCGCACAAGTGCCAACAAGCAGGTTTTGCCGTCTGGCGGGGAGGCTCTGAGGTGGAGCCGGGCTCAGCTGGGAGTGGCTTCGTGGAGGTGCTTCTGTGAGCTTCCCACAACTCTGGGCTTGAATCTCTGTAGCTCCCAAAAGACGTGGGGCGTTAGAGAGCAAGAGGAAAAGGCCAGATTGACAGGGTCGCCAGAGGCAGTCCTTGCACAAAGGCAAAAGTCTCGCACGAGCGCCTCTCACGGTGGGTGCCAGAGGCTCACTGCTGCAGTGAGGAGGGCCGGTTTACTTTCCCCCTGGAGAGTCAGGCTCTTCCTTGAACTGCGCCAAGGGCAGCAGAACAAGGACCTTGTCATATTTAGTGTTGTGTATTGGGGGTTGCCCACACAGACTCGATACTATCGAAAAGGTGTTGATGGACGAAATTCCAGTGGTTTTTTATTTCAATATTACTATCAGAATTATTCACAGCCTAGCACTAATGGGCTCCAATTCCAAGATATATCATGGAAATCGTTTGCCTAGTGGGCAGGACAGCTGGTATGGTACCAGTAATTAACCCCAGAACTCTTTCCCCCACCCAATCCTGTTTGGACCTAATGCTTGATAAGAATTATTTAGGCATGGGGTGGGGCAGTGGATCTGATCCAGTCCTTGGTACAAAGCTGTGTTTAGATTTAGCTCCTGGTTACCAGGATTTCTGTGTGCAAATCCTCTACCTCCCTGGGTCTCATTTTCATCTTTTGTAAAAAGAGGACACTGAGCTAGATAATGGGCAGAGTCTGTCCCAGCTATGCGCTTCTTGGCTTTAGTACAGTGGACAGGCAAGGCTTTTTGTTTCCCAGGATGTTGGTTGGCTTCAGCTCTTAGTCCCAGTGGATCTGGCAGTCCTATGATGGAGTTCTCCACAGCCTACAAAGCAAGCCAGGTTTTGCGCAGAGCCAGGCTTCCTGGTGAATTTAGGAATGAGACTTATTTGGATAGGGAGAAGGAATGGGTGGGCTTATAGGAATGCTAGGTTATGCATCCCTGTCTCAAGCTTCAGGAGTCACAAGACCACCAACAGAGATTTTAGATTAGGTGCCCAAAGGGGGGGAAAAGGACTTTATTTTAGGAGAGAAGAGGCCCTTTTTTTAAAGGCTAGAAAATAAACAGAATACGCACAGTTTATAGTTGGAGCTGTTCTTCAAGCATGCAGATAAATATCACTTTAGATATTTTCAGACATAAACAAAACTTTACAGTTCATAGTCTACACACATAACAGAATGCCTTGTACAAACAGTAGTCACCCAATAAAATCTGATGAATGAGCAGATGAATAATGATATGCATGGTTTCCAAGGAGATGAGGTTTTCTGACATTTCTGACACTGAATTACCTGTGCTTTAAGAATGGTAACTTATAAATATTGCCTTTCATCAAGTTAAAGATAATCACCTGAAATAAAGTCAGTAGTGGAATAATCACTTGTATTTTTATTTAGTGAAACAAAAAACCTATGCATGCTTAACAAAATGTAAAGGTTTTACAACTGTGGTTACAAAATAATTAAAATGCAAAATTTTCCAGTATGAAATCTTAATTAGAACTTAGACATATACACTTGGAAACAGAGGCAAAAGAGAATTATTTAGAAGTATATTGCAGTATTTTGTGAGCTGTTAGTTAATTAAACAGTCACCAAGTGCTGCTTGTATTCTAAGAACAGCCTGTTTACACTAAAAGTGGTTTGTCATTCATGAATAAAATACATCTAGCAGGAACCATTGCATTAACAACTAACCATTTCAACTTTCAGAATTTGCCCACTTTATCTCAAGCTTTACATCACAATTTTCTGAACAGGATTATTATTATTATTTTGTCAAAAGTTTGGCATTTTCTTTGCCCTTGAAGACATTTGTATAGTTCAAGTTGTGAAAATATTTGCATATACCTTATGTCTCTTGATATATTTATTTTTTTACAACTGCTATCAACTCTGGAGAAAAGACCCAAGACTAATCTGTAAAGTCCTAATTGTCAATTTTTTTTATTCTCAGAACTTTGTGAGAAGGGCTTTATATTGGAAAAATTGAGTGCACTTTATTTCTCTTATTTATACAGATACCACAAACTTTGTCCTTTGCATGGTATTCTATTTTGTTCAGCCTCCTACCAGAGGGGCAATCATTTAGGAGACAGAAGCAGTTTTTTTTCTTATCTGGTCTTTATAATTGCTCAGCATCTCATAACTCATGACAACTATGTGATCATTTATAAACAAAACTCTGCCAATATAAATATGGGAAAGATCATATGAAAGTAGGATAATGTGGGATGTCTTTGCATCAAGAAAAAAAGGAAAATTTTTAAGACCTTTTTAAGACCTAATATTTTCTTCCTTTCTCCCTCTCTTCTTTTTTTTTTTTTTTTTTTCCCTGCATCTGCTATCAGCAGGCCCTCTGTCAGGCTGTAGGATGCATTGTTAATTAAAACATAGTCCTGCCCTACTGCCTGTTCAGCCCAGTGGGGCATTGGGGAGAAGGAGACTCCCCATTTGGCATAGCTCATGGTCAACCTATAAGGAGCCCAATATTGTTGAGATTTTGAGCTCTAGTGCCCTATTCCACCTGCTTGCCAATGTATTTCTCTTATCAGCTTCCCAGGGCTTTATAGATCCTCTAGATCATCTTTGGGTAGGAAAACCCCCCCCACCCCCGCCCCCAGGCACATGCCAGTTAAAGCAACCACAAATGGCACTTTGCCAGTTGGATTCACTCCAGCCTTCCCAAAAGTAAACAAAAAGGTGCCACAGGAATTATCTAAAACAGGAGATTCATAAAGATAGTCTTTGATCCATATTTTCTCATTTTGCTAACAAATGTTATTATAAACATTTTTATTAATCATTGCAGAAGTGCTCTGCATGATTTTCAGATTCATCCAATGGGTGTCTACAAAACAGTGGGCAATGATTTCAACATTTTAGAGTGATAAGTGAGACCAAAGTAATTCTAGTATCTTGTGCTTCAAAATCTGCCACATTTGCCAAGCATAGAAGCAATTTGTAGTATGAAGCCAGATCCCTACTAATAATAGAAACTTAGTCATTTAAGGATCACCATATCTTTTTCTAGGAGGTTTGATTGCAGTGTAATTTCAGCACATATGATTTAAGGAGTAATAACCATTCGAGCCAGCTTTTAACCAAGGCAAGTTAGTGCACATATTATTTAAGGCATACTATTAGTTTTAAAATATTCAATTCAGCTACTAGAACTATGCCTCATGAATACTCTTTTGAATTTTGTCATGTTATGAGCTTCTTTTAGGCCCTGAGGGCTAAAGTTAGCACTTCCTGTAATATTTTTTAGCATCATTAACAGAGAATGTGGTATTCTTTAAATTTTATACTTATAGAAACAGGGAGGATAGAAAAATTGTAATAGCTTAATGACTTCACTTTGAAGACAAATCTCTCTATAAACATAAATCTATCTCTATTATTAAATTTATAGCTTATCAAGTTTGAAGAAGGGTCTTGGTGACAGGTGTTCTAGTGAAATATTTCTTAACAGGAATGGAAGTGTATCAGCAACTTTGGAGATACGTATATAAATAATCCAGAAAAGTGGCTTGCAAGAAGATCACTGGTCGCACCCCCCCCATATACTTTTTGTGATTTAACATACAAATGAATACATCTTGGCACCAATTACAGACTTGTACAAAGCCAGTCAACCTGGTTGGTTGACTGTGCACATATACTGCTGCTGTTGTTGGGACCAGGAGTTGTTACTCACCTGAGAAAGGGTGGCTTCTGCCCACAAGATGCTTACAGTCTGGTTA